TAAATAATAAACCCTTTATGTTGTATAGCTACCTCTCAAAGTCAAGGTCAAGATATTAATTAAAGCTATAATTAAAGCAATGCTTCTTGACTAAAATCAACAGATTAGCTATTCCCGTTTGGAAATTATATATCACAACTACATATTCTGAGATTTTCATGGTACCATTCTACCATTGTACGGCCGTAGGCGCTATTTGAAATTCATCAAAATTTACCTGGAGCACCGGTAAATTTTTACATCCAATTTTTCTCCAAAGCAGAAGTGTTTTAGGGGCTAAATTTTCCAGTGCTTATAATACATCCACATGGGCATACAAATATATCAAAATTATAAAGAATCACTATCCACCCAATTTTCAAAATTTCCCAAAACTTTGTATTACCTTTAAGAGAAGCATCCATAAGTTTAAATACATATTTGAACTTGTATATTCATGTACAATGAGCCACATTTCCCACAGGTTAACCTAAACGCACAAACAAAAGAGACTAGAAAACAGAGCTGCAATTATATTGCATTCTTTATTTGTATCTTATCATGTAATAGTCAATATCGATCTACCATTGGTTAGTATGGATACTCGGCAAATAAAAATTCATATTTCACAGCAATGACAAACAAAAAATCAGTCAAGATCAGCAAACTTCAAACCAAAATAATAAAAAAAGTTTATACACCCATGATCTACATTTACATTCCAATTAAAAGCACATATGCAATATGATCTGCCATTTAGTAGTATTTATATCTATATTACAAACTGCACTTTTCGTACAACATTATATCGATAGCATAAAGTATTATATATGTACTGTTTACATGTACTTTAAACACACTTCATGACACTGTCTTCTGGCCTGATACATGTCACGATGGCTAGATTTTTATTTTCATTTTTTACATCTACCAAATAATGTAACTGAAAGTCTCCTGTAAGTGCACACATTCCAAGTGAATGTGCCTATGCATGCCAGCACTGGACACCATACTAAGCCAAACACACGGGACTCTGTACTAAGCCAAACACACTGGACTCCGAACTAAGCCAAACACTATGACTTCATGCTAATTGTAGTAGGAATCGATCATTAGCAAGAGATAATTATATTTTCCATTTGACTGTAGGCACCATTTACATGATACTCTACGTTACAAAACAATGACAAAATTCAGTCTTTTTCTTCATTTTTCAGACAGAAAAACATATCACTATTCCTCACTTACATGAGCCTATCATATAACAAATCATAGCTGTACACAACACACACACATGTGCACTCCCTCCTCCATCTTCCACCTCTCTCTCTCTCTCTCTCACTCCTTTTCACAAACATGGCTTGATAATTGAAGCATAGTTTATGCTTTCAAAATGACTATATTTATACTACTAAGAAAAGCATCACATTTTTCTACCATCCTAGGCCAAATTCAGGATCAGGCCATCCCTTGTTAAAAACTTTTCAACATATACAAGAGAAAAAATGTCTACATAATTTACGTATAGATATATAAGATAGGGATCTGCAGTGTACAAATATTACAGGGAACATGTGATGGTTAAATGGAAATATTTCGATATAACATTTACACAATTCCATTTCAATTTTAATACGTGTATAAAAAACGAGACTACCACAAATCATAGCATCATTAACAAGAATTATAACAAGAATTACAACCGTGTCAGGGTGCTACAAGAATTTTTTTCACCACTTGCCCTGTCGGGCAAGTGGGTTTTCAATTTACTTGCCCAAACAATATTTCCACTTGCCCAAAACTTTAAAGCGAAAAAGGACTCGAGGTTAAAGCATTTATTATCTCGTAATGATAAGTTAGTGTTTTAGATAGCAAATTAATGCACATACATGTACAGTGTAACTGTACTGAATAATAACCTAATATGTCAAAGAAAATGGTCAACAAAGGATGGTTGAAGGTTTAAAAAACGCATTTTATTGATTCTCCATAAATAATCAGATTCACATTCATCTGATTTATATGAGCAGCGAGTTTTAAATAATATGTTCACAATCATTAACAGTCATTATGAATAAATATCAAACATTTGACTTTTTGTACTTACTAGAAAATCCCTGTTGTTTATTCCATTCCGATTCGCACGTGTTCATTTCCCTAGAATAATGACGTCATATTTGGCGTGATTCAACCAATCGGCAATCAGAGAATAGCAAAGGCCTGTCGGTGCGGCCTGCAGAGCTAGAGAGAGAGAGCGCGAATAAGCTCGCAGCTGGTACGATCGCGCTAGCTGTCTCTAGCTAGCTCACGGCCGGTGTGGTAGGCGATTTGTTCCGGGTTCCGCGGAACAAATCGGCGCGCCGATTTGTTCCTCGGAACGAATCTACTGGATCGACTCGTTCGCAGATACGTTCGAAAGCCGCCGTTCTTATCCGACATTGGCCGAACGTTTCTGCTTATATAATCGCGTATATTTTTATTACTTGTGTCGAATAAACATGGTAAAAATAAATTTTAGCTTTATCTTGATACTTTTGTATTTATTGTTGCAATGAAAACCAATATTATTTTTTTTGAAATATTTTTGTGTTGACCCCGGCCCCCCCCCCCCCCCCCACCCCACCCCGCATCTCTTTCATTTAAACTAGAGTCTACATGTACATCATGCATGCAGCCCACATGCATAATTAGATTCTGTGATGATCGATGCCCGGTAATAGGTGGTTGACGTAACACGATATCATATAAAGCAGCATTCAAACCAAATTAGAAGGCCTGATTAGAAAACACCCCGACATCTGCTTTTACAGGCAAACTAAGCCTATGGCAACAACTGCCCTTTTTGCTAGACCACCCAGTCCCCGTCGCTTCGCGACGGCGCTGTTTGTGGTCAATCATTGGCCGCAATTATCAACATATTTGAACAACGGGAATCTGCATTTCTATACAAAGTTCTCAAATTGGCAATCGTTGGTGTAGCTAATTTGGAGAAGTTTGATTGGTTGCAAAGGCCGACCAGAATAGTTCATTTTGCTTTAGGGGTGTACCATGGCGTGTATTCAATAATACGTGAGCACGCACGCTCTCCGATGAGATTCGGAACGGATCGCCTGGCCGGAACCGATCGCCTGTGACTAGCGGAACGAATCTACGAATCCGGAACAAATCGGCGGGTACATATCCAGGCGATCGGTTCCGGAGGAACCGATCGCCTGCACGGAACAAATCGCCTATGACACCGGCCGTGCGTGGAGGCGGAGCGGCATTCATGGCTTGAAGTGTCACTGTTGCATGCGCGCTGAGCTAGCTGAGCTGGCTAGCTGTCTGTGAAGTTTTTTCGAAATCGGAACGATCGCTTTTTTGCTTCTGGATTTTGACGACGGGTAAGAAGTTGACGGGTGAATGGTAGAGTTCTTGGACACTAGGAAATTACTGTAAAAGTATCACTTGCCCGAATCGGGCAAGTGATAATTTGATTTACTTGCCCGACGGCTCAATTTGGTTGCCCCGGGACGTCGGGCAAGCGGGTTTGTCGCGCCCTGCGTGTTCAACTGGGGCAGCATCGTGAACTAAGTCCTCAACACTAACCCTTTCAAAAATTGCCTCAACGAGAGAGAAATCTCAGGAAATTTGAGGTAAGGGTTCAAACCACATTTCCCCTTAAAATATGACCTTTTATGTACACTCGTTGCATGACCTGGGGGGTGTTTCACAAAGATTCTAAGTCGAACTTAACTCTTAGTTGAACTTAAGTTTTATGGAGAGCCATTTGTAGGCTTACAATTAAATTTATTCAAAAGCAAAAATTCAAGTATTTTAGACTTTTCATAAATTTTACATCAAGAACATGAAATATCCTTGATAATAGAAAATATGAATGATTTGAATCAACATTTAATGCCTTTTAAAATAACTTTTACAAAATATTTTCAAAGATGCTAACGGCTTTCCATAATTGTTAAGTCCGAATTAGAGATAAGTTCAACTTAAGATCTTTGTGAAACACCCCTCTGCAATAACGATTTCATATAGGTTAGCACATGAACCATCCTCATCACATGTCACTCTCTTTGTTCATACTGGAGAGTGCATCCTACCCTAGCGGCCCTCTCTCACATGCCATGATCAAACCATTGGACTAGATGGCATCTTGTACCTCTGTATTACAGCATGAGTACAATTAGCACCAGCCCCCCACTCCGTGAACGGAGGGATACCATGCGTGTTCCCAAAATGTCCGGTAAAGGGGTACTTTTCACGCACCAAAGTCTGGCTCGTAGTAAACACAAATCTGGTTCGTATTGACTTTACACACCGGACTGTTTTCAAAAGGAGGGAACATGCATATGCGTACCCTAAATAACACCGAGTGGGGGGGGGGGGGGGGGGGGGGGCAATTAGCAAACATAATATATCTCTAGGGGGGGGGGGGGGGGAGGGGGGCAAGTCCAAGGTATATGATCTTTATTTTACAAACCACCTCTAAGATTGTAGAATGTCTGGTGATTATGTAAAGATGATAGCCAGCCACACTAAATCTTGGCTCCGTCCAAACGCAGGTGCATTTAATATCAAATATTAAGTAAAAATAATCAATTTGATGTCATTTCATCTTTGTAACGCCACAATACGTATAGTGTACGAGGCACCATATCACCTTGGACTTAACACTTGTATAAACTGGAAAGAGCTTCTTAGTCGCTTTGAACATGTAAAACACATCCACACAGACAGCCTAAAAGATTTGCAGGGGATATTTACTTTACTTGTATCAAAGAGAACTGTTGCTGAGCTAGCGCCATGAGCGTCCCTGGACGGTGTGTGCGCTCTATAAGTTTACACTATTATTATTATTATTATATGCATTAGCGATGCTGCCTCTAGATCTTCCAGATTTCACTTCCAACTAGTAATGAGCCCGATTTCTTTTATATTGTCTGTTCAGTGCCAGAAGGGCTCTAACTTGTGTGTTAAAGTACAGGAGTTAATGCCCTTCTGAATCAAAACAGATGATTTCTTCCTTTTTTAAACAGCCTGCATATTTTTATGATAAATCTATATTCCAAATCCTAGCAAATTCCAGGAATAAATTTTGATTCATGATCTTACTCAGCCCCTTCATTTAACTCCTACAATCAAAGATTAGATATAGACTTTCTGCTGCCATCATTTTATTCCGTTTCATCATCTTTTCTTCTAATTCAATGGAAAAAGTCAATTCATTTTTTCACTTTAATATTATGATACAGGCCTATGATTATTAAAAATGTCACATAATATGGCATTGGTTAACAGTTCATATAAAAGTATACTATTACTTATAAAAGATAATCTTATAACTACATGCATCACACAAATTGATAACACTGTTGTAATTTCAGTTTCATTGTGCATTGCTTAAACACAAATATTTCCTGATGAATGAAAACTATTCCATAATTCATTATGCTATTTCAATTTTTCAAAATCATATACAAAAATAAACATCTGTGAATTTTGCTGCATACTTGTCCAATTTACCATCTATTTCCAATAGTTCAGTAGAGTTAAATGAAATGTGGAAAGTTATCAAAGATTATTCAAAACTACAAGAAATAAACTATATGTTGAGACAAATGTCATAGGTATGTGGTAAACACACACATTTGAGTTTGAGTTTTTGTTTAGATCAGAAGGAGGTAGGCCCAATTGTTGCACATTTACTGGAGATCACAAACGATGATAGACAGCATCATAGATAAGCACAAACAGGACAATATATTAAATTACAAGTCTGGTGCTAGAATGCTGTATTATGCAGTTGTGTTACTACACTCAAAGAAGAGTGCTCTTAAAGCCTAGCTGCACTAGTTTGGCCAGGAGGGATTAGACCTCCCTGCGTGGCCACTGGCAGGTGGTTATCTCATCAAATCAGTTGTCAATTAACATAAGAAAGAGGGGACCATGGGGGCTCTTCACCTCAGCTATATAGGCAAGCCGATCGGGTCAAAATATTACCGTATGTCCTCACCTTCACTATGGTACTGCAAGTTTGACCCCTGTTCATGCGTAATTTGAAAGGGTGTGGAAAATGAGGTTTTAATTTGCTCTTGTACAATACCGAAAGAAGAAATACTTTGTTTTCCTTTACACTCGTATTCTACGTTCATTCAGCTTTCCATTAATATATAAAGTTGTATTTTCATTGGAGAGGGTCTTTAATAAAAGCTATACTATTACATGAAAGCAAAAGCACTTGAAAACTAAGATTTGTATAAAACAAGAGAATTTTGATTAAAAATAAAACATGTACAATTCATCTACATTTAGATAATTCGATGTTTTTTTTTGCTTTGTGCATGGACAAATATTTCAGAAAACAGTTTGAAACAAATACATGTTTTCTATCTCCCACTACCATTTCCAAACTATGATCAATATATTTGTTGACTGGTGATGTATCATCATCTTGCATGACAATATCAGCACTTAAGAATCAGACGGCGTTAACTCACATACCTAAACACAGCGTTAATGCCCTTTTGGTTTCAAACAGACGATACAGTGTCCACCATGCGTTTGTGTGGAGAGGTTTGGTGCAAAAACAGTGCACCTACCATATCCCTTTTAGAGACCACTACTCTCTTTACTTTGCTATTGCAAACTGTACCTAGTATTTATAATGTCACGTTATCAAGAAAATGAGCGTGCATAGCCATGAGTATTGTACAAAGGACATACTTCTTTCCTACCTCAGTCACAATGTCAAAAACCGACTCTACACGGTCTCCAAACCAACCAAATCTGGGCCGTTTCATAAAACTTGTTATCAATAACAAGTTACAAGCTACTGTTATAAGCTACTGAAATCATGGCATCTGATTGGCTGAGAGCAAATTTGTCATAGAAATTTAGCAGTTGTTACAGATAACAGGTTTTATGAAACGGGCCCCTGTTCCATTCAAGGTAATGTATTTTGAGTTCAGTCTGTTGTCGGTCTAGTGTGTGACTGCGGTATTCCAGTCGAAACAAAACCACCATCTTGTATCCAGCAGAAGTGGACAAATATCACTCAGCTCTAATTCTGCACTCGTCTTCGGCTCTGTCAACCATTTTCCTTTCATCACTGCATGAAAGCAAAATGGAAATTTAAATCTCCTCCCACCTGTGCTTTCAGTAATTATACAAATGTATTTATCAGGTAAAAACAAAATAGAGAGGACACATGGCAATATGAATACAGCTAAACCCTGTTTAAATGATTCCATCATGATTCTGAAGGTGTGTGAACTCAGCATTCATGTGCTACACTGTTGATGTGTAAGTGAGATGCTCTGTTCAGCAGTGCAGGAATTCAATCGTCGCTCTGTACGTTTCGTTGCGGTTGGGATGGAGCTGGAGTTCATCACAGGTTGAGACTCACATGACTGATTTTTCTGAAACACCAAAACTGAAAGGAGAAAGAAAAGAAACAATGTATGAAAATGCAGTAAAAACGATTGGAAAAAAAAAGATATAAAATGATATAAAATGATATAAATTCATAATTTGTCATCTCAGTGTAAAATGGTGTTCTCATATAAAAGTTCCTCTTGATAATATTATGAAAATTACATTAAATTTTTTCTTTCTTTCATTTACATTCAAGTTTTACTATTCATTAAACCGATTTCGGATTGCTGAAACCTTAGAAGCCAATCAGCTCCAAAACCCTTTTCCCAACATCATAGACCTGCTATCCCCATTCACATTAAGCCACACAATATAACGACTTGAAATATAGAATCCCTTGCAGCTATTTGTACCTTTATTGAGTCTCCGTCAGAGGAACAGGTCTCTTCTTCACTAATAGATAGGTTGTCATATCCCCTTTGCCCCTGACTTTCACTTCCCCTCGCTTCTCAAATTCATAATACGGTTCTAGCACTGTCATAGAGTGTTCTGTAACCTGGACATGCCCGGGCATACCCGTAGAGTCCATACGGCTGGCTACATTGACAGTATCACCCCAGATGTCGTAGAGGAGCTTGGTGGTGCCGATCACACCAGAGGTTAACTTCCCGTGATTGTACCCTATCCTCAAGATGAAGTTGAACGCACCAATCGTCATGCTGAGAACATCATCATTAAATTTCTGTAATTGCATCATCATCTCATCAGAAAAGTCCATGAGAGTGATTAATGTCTGTACATTGTTTGGTTTCTCGCTGGGACGAAGACCGCAGGCAGCCATGTAGGTAGAACCTATCGTCTTGATCTTCTCCACCTCCTTGTATTTAGGATCGTTGAGCAGATTGTCAAAGTCACTGATAAGTTCATGTAAAACACGAATGCATTCCTTGCCACCCTCGTACGCCTCCTCGTAGAAGTCATTGAAGTTGACGATGCTGCAGAAGATGACGGCGACATTGTCGTGGTTCTGGGAGAACTTGGAGGTGGTTCGGAGCTGCTCGGTGACAAACTGTGGCACAATGTGGTGCAGCAGTTTCTCTGCTTCCTCCTGGAGACTCTTCATCTTCTCGTGATCGACCAGAGCCTGGTAGTTGGAGTAGTAGTTGAGACGGAATCCGATCTCGTATTCCCGATTTAAGACGAAGATGAGGATGAGCAGGAGGAGGATGACCAGGATGACTTCCTCCGGGTTGACGTAATGATGGGAATTCATTTCACACAGGTCACTCATCATGGTGGGTGTAGCATCAACCAGGTCATAAGGTGTGGGTGCAGTACCATCAAAGAACTCGGTGTCCACCATCACAGGACAACTCCTGCATATAAAGAGCAGGACCATCAGAATGGTACCGCTCACCAATGCCAGGAGAAGCTTCATCCACATGTTGAGCTGGACAAAGTTACAGAAGTGCAGGAGGGACACCACGATCAGGAAACAGAAGAAGAGCCGGTTCTCACCAAAGCAGCCATCGTCGTTGCACGTGTAGTTGGTAAAGACGGCGATGACGGGACAGCAAAGGAGGAGCGCCCCCAGGATGTGACGACGGTACCAGTTGTGGAACAATGCAGCAATGTACTCAGCCAGGATGATGCCTAGATTCCTGCAGAATGCTTCCCGGATCATGGCCAGGAGGATGATCACCTGCAGGATGGAGATGACAGGGAATAAGACAGCCCAGGGGATAGAGATGTCGAGCACCAGGAAACAAGAGATGCCAACCAAGATGAAAGTGGCAAAAGCGATGCATACATCAAGGAGGGTATTGTAGCGAGTGGTGGAGATGGTTTCTGAAGAATGACGCCGTTCGTTGCGCTTATCATCGTTTGCATCTTGTTGTCGGTCAGGTTGCATGTAGTCCGGAGTGAACTGGGAGTGGTACTTGTCCTCAACCTCACTGTTATTGAACCTGAGAAAATACACAAAAAAGGAGAAAAATCAATATTTCAGTCAATACAACAGCAAAATAACAGATATTTTCCATATAGACCACTCTACTAAACAATTTACTATGCTAGGCTCCACACATTTTTTCTTCATAAGGTACTTGGATTTAGATTGTTAGGGTCAGTTTGCCTGGGGCTTCTACTAAAATTTCACATTTTGGGGGTCTAGAGATAAAATTTGGAGGCTCATGTGCACCAGTCCCTTATTAATGTCATCTTTTTCTTTGGATTTGAAAAAATAAAGCTGGGTAACTGAGGAGCAATCAACAAACTTTTAGCGACCACAGTTAAGCTGGGCTTTGCATGAAGGAATTAGTGAATACTAAACCACTGACATCGCTTGCCCTACAAGCATTGTCAAGGAACCATAAGGTATGAAATCAGCCTGCAGAACCTACAGATTACCATATCCCATGGGGGGCTACAGATAACCATATCCATAGGGGGCTGCAGTCTACATGATATGATTCAGGGGCCTGCAGCCACCAAGGACTATTTTCTAAATGGAATGGAAGCAAGTCACTTTTTATGCGATTAGCCCAGATATGGCTGACTAAATTTAGAAAAATTAGGCTTTCACATTTCCACACTTAAACCCTGGGTCCCATCTTACAAAGAGTTACGATTGGTCCAAATCAATCGCAAGGCCTCCAATCAGTTGCAAGTTTGCAGTCTCCTATCTCTAATGTACATAGTTGCGATTGATATGAACTCTTTGTAAGACGGTGCCCAGGACTTACATACTATTCATAACCCTTACCCTAATCCTAACCTAAAACCCAATTGTAACCCAAGCCCTAAACCCTTGCATCTTTAACAAAATAATGCCAAGAGCTCATGTCATTAGAGCAAATTTATGACTAAAAATACAGGCATTCCCTGGTGTGCGTGCTGCCTGCAGGGGGATGGTATCAATGGAACTTGATCGTTTCTCTTGAAATCATGGTTTGCATTTGGGCATTGAGGTTGACACTATCTTAAAGAGATCCCGTAACTTTGTCTCAGATTCTGAAACAAAATCCTGGATTTAGCTAATGCTGCAATGATAATTATAAACCTTTAGGTCAGTCAGGAACCCCATGACTTTTACAAGCAGATCGCCTGTCTGATTATGAAGATATTTATGATTGGAAAGCAAAACCAAATTTTGCGTTTTTCTACAGGTTTTCATAACACTACAGTCTATTGGGGAAAACGAGTATGGTAAAACAGGTCACTCAAAGATTTTTACTTTTTGAGGCATTTCATGATCATTTTGAAGCGTGATTTCTTTAGGGCTTCAATATTACACCATATCACAGACACTGATAACACGTAGGGCCGTGCATCTCAGATTTAACATTGTTAAATGATGCCTTTAAGACTTACCTAAGTGATAACTGACTGATGGGTGGCTTCTCAAAGTAGTCCATCTCGCCATCCTCCTTCAGGAATTTAGTGAGCTGGTTCTCGGTGTTTGGTTCTTCGTTGTGGTGCATGATGATGGATGCGTTGAGAGTGAGGGGGCTCGCTTGACCATCCTGCGGGGTTTCGGCTTTTGGACTTGGCTGACCTACGACCCCTCCATTCTCAGGCTTGGCGTCTCCTCCCTATCAAAGATAAACAAATACAAAGTAGACTCAAATCATAAAACAGTTTTTAAAATCCAGAGCCCAATGGTCTTGAACTGATCGTAGTCCGATGCCCCAATAAATCTGTGGGAAAGCAGTGTTTGGTATGTACATAAAACCTAGCCTGTGCAGGTCGGAAAAAGATGGCTAGAATTTTTTACATTGGGTGAAATTTCATGCTATAATCCATTCTCCAATAAAGATCTTAATATCCTTTTAAAAAAATTATGTTGATCGACTCCTGTGTCTAAATATCCAATCTGCTTTCAAAGTATTGAATTTGTGACTTTTTTTGTTTCTAACATTGTCATGTACACCATCGCAACCTTTATTGCAACTGTTATTCAATGTGAAAATCTATACTGTTGTTCTACAAATTGAAATTAGTGTGTTAAATGACACCCTATCGGATGAAAAAACCACTCAATATAAATGGAAAACTGAATGAATGTAGAATACAAATATAAAGGAATAAAAAGTATTTAACCCTTTCATTATTGCAAAAAAGCAAATTAAAACCTCATTTTATGCACCCCTCCAAATTACGGTTCAACAGGGGTCAATTCTGCCGAAGTTACAGTGACGACATAACATGTAGACCTCATTGGTTCACCTATATAGCTGAGGCCATGAGCCATGCTTAATTAATCCAAAGTAATTGCAAATATGCGTACTGCACATAAGATTATGTCATCAAGTCAATAGCAAGTTTTTAGTTCGACAACTTCCGATTTTCAAAGCTTTGGATTTTGAGATTTCAGAGAGCTGACACTCCTCTGACAGGCACTAAAATGGCATATAATTGATATTATTGTAATCTATGGCTTCTAAGCTTTCCGTTGATATATAATTCGTCCATTTCATTTTCAGTTCGGATACGGTCTTTAAACCATCAATCAATAAAGATTCGTCATGGATGGTAGAGCCCTTACCGCTTGGTTTTCAGCATGGTTGAGGACAGCATCCTTGCCTTCCTCAGCTGCCTCTGGGACCTCCTCAACAGACTTCTCTGGACTACCCCCGCTGCCACTAGCGCCATTGGTGGTGTTGGAGGCGAGCAATGGTTTCCTGCTCTGTAAGTCCTGCTTTGCTGCCTCGCTCCCTTCGCCCCGCTCGCTGTCAGTGTCTTCCATCGCATTGGCCGCGCTCCCTGAAGCCCCATCCAGTGATGCTACAGACGACATGTTGCCATGATATTTGGTTGCAGGGCTGGCGGATGCGTTGCGACCAGCGATGAAATATGTCTTCATACCTGTAAAAGAGTAGACAAAATAATGTAATAGAATGATTGATTCATAATTTATATTAATAGGAGAAGGAAATTCAAGTTGGTAAAATCCTGTAAAAAAGAGAATGAAATATGAAGAAATTTACAATATCAACCAAAAATATATTTAAAAAATACTAAGGCAACAGATGGATTAATTTACACAATTATACATAATTTTAAAAAAAATTGGAACTCTTTGTACATGACGATCTTTCCAATAACTGATTTTCTTAGATTTCTTCATGCTGCAAATGGCTGTTTGCATTAAAAAAAACAACAACACTTGGCTTAAGTGTATATTCAAGTTATCACGGAATATAATGAACTCTGCATGATCTGCATCCAATAACACAGCTAACTAGTATCCAATGTCAATCAGGTCTACTGCCCTCTACAGCTCAATTGACCCTCAGTCAACATCGACTGAAAGAGATGTCTGTCTCCACTACATTGACTGAATATGATTATTGTACGGTAAACTTTGGGTCTATGGTCTTCAATGTATGTACTGAGTCACTGACACACATCTCTCTCTCTCTCTCTCTCTCTCTCTCTCTCTCTCTCTCTCTCTATCTGTCTCTCTCCCTATCTCTTTATCAATGTCACATGGATTTTGACATGTTTGTGTAATCAGAGCTAACAATGTTTTTATAAAAACAATTTAGCTATAAGTTTTGAACAAAGGGATTTGTGTTTTAATAACAATCATGGAACTTCTACAACTAAACTAAGAGCTTTGTAATTTTTACAAATTTGTCTATATTTTGTTACTTTTACATGATTGATAATTAAACTGCTGAAGATACCTCATGAAACTTCAAGTTATGACTGGTTCATTTGGTAACAGAATTAATTTTTCAAAATCTTTCTTACTAACCTACAGCTTTCAAGAGAAGTACACAATAAATATCTATACTTTCAAAATTAAATGGGAAAAAACAACAATTTATTATCAAAACAGACGCAAACAAAAAGCTGTCTTGATAATATTACATCCAACAAAATGAAAGAAAGTGACTGAAGGCAATGACCCTCAATCATAGTCGACTTGTGATGCAAAAGCAGAGAATCCTACCAGGAAAAAAAAATCCTCAATGCTAATAAAAAGTAATATCTGGTGAAGATTGACGAGCCACACTTCAAATCCAAACTAACCAATTTTTTGAATCAAATACAGAGCTTCAGCCTGACAGAATAAAAATAAACCCCTGAGATTTTCACAGAAGTTTGTATATATATGAGAAATGTGTCATCAGAAATCAAAACCATAATACTCAGTTGAGGAGACCTGTTAATTTCTCTTGTGTCATTGCCTGTGTTAATTATGGTATGGACCTATGCCAGAGAGAGAGAGAGAGAGAGAGAGAGAGAGAGAGAGAGAGAGAGAGAGGGGAGGGGAAGCGAGGGAGAGGCAGATCAATGTTGAGTCAGGGGAAAACCCTGCACTTGTAAACTTCAGAGAAGTTGTAAATCAAGAAATCCTGTTGAATTGCTGCCAGCTCTTAAATTTGAAATCCCTTCATAGGTCAATGACTTAATGGTTCAGTTGCAATGTAAGACTTCAATATGTGTCTAAGACCCCATTCTCACTCAGAGTTTGGTATAAACAAACTTGGTACTCTTTAAAGGGGAAGTCCATCCCGATATTAACTTGGTTTTAATAGAAGCAGAATAAGAGCAGGTCAGTGAAATTTTGAGCAAATCTTGTTTGAAATTTTAGCAGACAATCCCATAAGTAGAAAAAAAAGAGATGATTTCTTGAAATTGAGAAAGAAAGGCACATTTAAGTTTCATCAATGCATATGTTGAAAATAAATATCATCTTTAGGTCTGAAGACGGAACCTCCGGTAACACAGGCATATTTGGGAGAACATTTAGCCAGCTCCGTTCAGCCTTCGCTTATTCCATATCTCAATAAACACTTCTCTCAAAAGCTATTTTAAAATCTGACACCCAAGGATGTGCGACAGGGAAAATAATAATGCTTTTCTAAATTAAAGGCAGCACCTTTATTGGCGGGCAATGACTTGAGGGGAGCCTTCTATATGGCTGCAGAGGTGAACGTAACTTAATTTGAGGCAGAGATATTGTCACTTCCTTGCACCTTCCTCTTATTGTCTCTTTCTCCCTCTCCCCCAGCATCATCTCAACCTCTCTCCCTCTCTCTAGAGTGGTCTCTCTCTTTCTCCAGAGCTGTCTCTCTCTTTCTCCTTTTATTCATTGTCTCTCCTGCCCCTCTCCAGCATCATTCATTAATCTTCTCTCTCTCTCTCTCTCTCTGTCTCTCTGAGTCTCAATCATCTTCTCTTTATTTCTCTGTCTTTCAAATTGCATCTCACTTCCCCCTTCAAATCAGAGTCTCTCCCTCTCTCCCTCTGTTTCCCTCCTTTTTATATCCAATATTTTTCTTCATTCCCTTTACATTTTCTTATGCAACTGGTCAATTATCTCTCCTTTTCCTCATTAATTGCAATTATGTAGATTTCCTACTACACACTGTTCCTTTCCCCTATCTCAATCCCTTAATAATGTTCTTTCATTTATGTCTTATTTTCTATTTCTCAACATTTATCGCCAACAGTCTTTTTTATCTCCACCTTTCTCTCTTCTCTTACTCAACCAGCTCTCCCTCTGGTATTGGGTGTTCTCTTGTACTCACTCATTTTTTCCTTCTCTCTCTCTCTCTCTCTCTCTCTCTCTCTCATCCTCCCCCTCTCTTTCTCTCTTAGTCAATTTTTAATTTTCTTTCCAATTTGCTCTCTCTCTCTCTCTCTCTCTCTCTCTCTCTCAGACCCCAGCTCTTCCCGGTGACCTTTTCATTCCCTATTATACCAGAGTCGCTACCAGGGATGTGGAGCTAATAATATTAGAATTCTAATTTATCTTTGTTTATGAAAGACAATTTATTAGATTTCTAAAGCATCTTTCAGGCAAAGCTGCCATTTTTATGTCACTCCCCTTCAGGCCTCCCATTTGTTTTCCCAGTTTCAAAGAGCAAGGAGCAAAAATTAGATGAGAAAAAGCAGGCTAATAATGCCCTGATTGAGCGCAATATTTATTGAATGCTCACGTTTTTATATCAATGAGAATAAAACATGGCTGCTTATAATTTAGAACAGGCTAAATAATGCAAAACAAGTCATGTCCTGAATTCTGAAAACCGATAAAATGAGGAAAGGGAGACATCAGTAGAGACACAAGCGTAAAAATCATATTGCTGAGCTCTTTCCAAAAATGCTTGTGGCATTCATAATTTGGTAGTTTGAATAATCTTCTAAGTAGAATTTATGGTAATGTGACATTTAGAACTGATAACCGCTGGTATCATACAGTGTATGTATTTGTGACGATTGCACATGCAATGCAATGCAATTCGATGCGATGCATTTTACATAATATAGGGTACAGGTCAGATGTGATCCTGGTAACGGTTTTAATAATAATAATAATACTAGGCTCTCACTCATGTCTGTCAGACTTAACACTCCTGGCGCTCCCGATTATTACCCTGGTTTTAGCATGGCTGCCATTACGGCGCTCTAGCATTTCAAGGAATTAATTCCTGCCAGGTGCCCATTAAAATCACCTGGGTTGAGTGTGGCAAATGTAGATCAATGTCTTGCCAAAGGACATTAGTGCTGCGGCAGGACTCGAACCGCCGACCTTGTGATCGACAGTCCGATGACATATCCACTTGACCATGACACTCCTAGTTTTGGGTAAATAATAGTAATAACGATTTGGGTAATTTAGAAGTAAATCGGTGTGCAAGGCTGATATGAAGCCATGAACCCTGGCCTGTAAAACACACGCCTGAAGCTCACACGGTAGGCAAACTGTGCTCATGTATACACATACATGTACTAAATAGGCCAGTCCAACAAGGGTCTTGGATCACATACAGAAGAAGGATGATGTCTCAAATGCCAAAAATCTCTAAAGAATACAATACAAATCTATTAATATTAAATCATTTATAACTTAGCCCCTATGAATAGTGTGCAGGGTTCTTATCAAACATTGAACGATCATTTTTTGAATTATTCAGCTTCTTGAAAGCAATTCATCTTGAGGCAGTATCATCCTTTAAAGATACTATGTCCCATTTGCAGTCCAAAAAAATGAAAAAGTTAAATTCCAACTGCATTTGAAAGATAATACTTATTTAGAACTTCCCTAAAAAAGGTGGGGCTTGAAAATGTCTTCAAGTGGGAAAATAATGGCTATTAGTTGTCAAATCGAAGTTTAGGGCTATAGAGCCCAAAAGTAATAGTCTTGATTTTCAGTCAATTGTACCGAATGGTCATACGTTTTATGCTGGGCAAAGATTCAATCAGTTTAATCTTGGCCATCACAAGAAGTGGGTTATTGATGTAGACAAATGCTCATGTACCCTTTACAACTCTTTTCATGTATGTTATTACCAAAGAAGAAAAAAAGCCAGTTAGTCACTCAATAGTGTCTGACAGTGAAGTCTAGCAAGTAAACGGGTTTCCTTGCATAATTTAAATATTAGGACACTGCTAACGTTTAAATTTCACAGATAGGGCATACATGACATATTCATAATTCCTGCAAAGTTCTACAGAATTTGAGGTTGGCTGCAAAAGGGACATTGTATCTTTAAAGCACGAGATAATGGAGAGGGTTATTTCAGCCACATGAATGTCAATGTCATTAGCATTCCTTTCTGAAAACCTAATGTAGCAAAAATGAACCTGGGCCGAGGACGTGCTTCACAGCGGCCAACAGGAATTAAGGTGAACAGCATCCTAGTGCTCTACCTGTACCACTGAGCAACGGATCGACTGATCCTGTCTTTCTTAAAGAGAAGTTTGAGTTCTGGGAAGAGGTGAAAAATAATTTATGAGTTTTATCATTCTTATTATGCAAGTGTGGAAGAACATCAGATAGTAAATGTTCCCTGAAAAGCATGGCTCTTCAAATGCCTTGATATTCTAAATATGTCATGTAGAATCGTAAAAATCCAGGGTAGGATTTTTACGCCATG